TAGACGCTCGCTGCGGATCGGAAGGTCGTGAGTTCGCTCCCTGGAGGAGCCGGACTTTGTTCAAAAATGACCTTGGCTCTCAGGTAAACCCAGCATTTAGTGGGTACCGGGCGCAGTCCCGGGAAGTAGAGGCCAGCGGTCTGATGCCATCACCTATCTTATGCCGATTGGTCTTTAAAAAATATAGGTCTAGCCCTATATGCCCTATACGCATAAAGGCGTGGAAAAGGGTCCTTTACTGTTTTACTATGTGTCCAGTCGTGGACATGGGTCCTTCACTTTACTTTAGCGTAATGTCTAGATGCCTGCCGACATGAAGATCTTCTGTTCGAATCCACATTTGTGGCGCGGGGATTTGTGTCACAGACGTAAGGTAAAGTTAAGACCGGTGTGACGAGTGCAAGGGAAACCTCGTCATGCAAGACTCCTGCCATATTCCGTCATCCTACGCTACGGATAAGGGCCTATATCGGCTTAAATATTGCCTATATCGGCAATAAATCACGAAGTTGGTGGCTCTTAGAATGTTTAATTGAGAATCTGCATCACAGCACTCGAGACAGAGACACTCCCATAAGCGCTCCGTCCAAATCTTCAGCAGCCGGTGAACAGTTCCAATTGTATGACAATCTAGATGTTGCGAGGGACTTTTCGGAGCGAGTGAACAGTTCTTAGAATCATTACAATCAGTCTAATTGCAAATTATAAAATAATAAGTTAATTGCGTATCCTTTACAAGACATTGCATGATTTAACATAGCGGTTTAAAAAAAAAAAATTTCTGTTGTATTTTTTTCTAGACGAATTTTATGTTCAGTATTTTGCCATTTCATTCTCGGTCATTTATTGGTTATGAGTTGGGTTATCTTCACAGCACTCCAGACACATCCATAGGTGCTCAGATTCCTCTCTCAGCATATTCCCAGCGTCGCGCTGTTAACAGTGCCAGCCCTATGCTTGTTGACAAAACGTAGTGTGCGTCCGGTGTGTTTCTCATGCTTGGCTGTGCCGATCTTTACCCGCAGTTCTCGTATTCTTAGCAGTGATGTAGGCATGTTGCTTTCAAAATCCTCGGAACGTCCTATTTCTCTAAGAGTATTGACAGTATCTGCGTGATCCATGGGCCGGCCATCTTCAGTTATTGCGGCACCTGTCAGTCTATCAGCTCTTACATTACCAAGAACACCTGCATGCCATCCCACAAAAATGAAGGTAACTGCACACACATGAGAGTTTTGCAATGACTCAACGAACCCGGTACCCCGACATTACGAAGCTCGTTCGCAACTCATAAGACACAGACGCCGACTATAAAAAATCATAGTAAAAAAGTAAAGATCCCTGTACACGCCCTTAGGCGCATCAGGCATATGGGAAAAGCACTCATATTTTTATAAAAATCATAAGGACAGGACAATCTAAGCCATATACAAACATTTGTTCTGATACGTACAGGACGTTTTGAGATATTTGTTAAAATGTGAGGGCACAACTTTTAAAACAGACTATACGACCGGCTAGTTAAGCTACACAGAGTAAGTTACGGTCAGGTCTCTCTGTTAAATAGAGAAGGCCGTGGTTACTGTTATGTGAAATACTCCAGATGTTTAACATATAACTTCATATAAATTACAAGGGCAGTAAACTTTAGAGGCAGTTTCCCAATAATAATATGAAGTGCTTGTCGTTTTTCTTCTTCAGCATTCCGAGCCCTTGAGATTTCACCCGCTTCATTCATCTCTGTGGTTGGTATTGTGCCCTCTTTCCAGTTGGACACCATGTGTTTGTAGGTCTACCTAGATATTATCTCTCTATGGTCTTTTTTAGTGTGCTTCATGGTCTACGTCCATTCAACCCCCTTCTGCACGCAGTGTTTACCTCTCTGTAATCTGATATTATCTCAGTATGCCCCAGACATTTCAGATTATTAGACCTCCTGATGCCAGTGATCAATCGTGATTTAAACAGATTATGAATTTATCTGTTGCTTCTCCCTTTACATTCCTACTATCTTTGACAGATCCAAAAATTCGCCGTAAGAATCTGTTTATAAAAAAGAAGAAAAGAAAACACACACACACACACATATATATATATAAAATATAAATATAAATATATATATATATATATATATATATATATATATATATATATATATATATATATATATATATATATATATATATATAAAAACATGGCTTCATCTTTTTTAGTTGTGCTCAGAGTCTCAAACCATTTAAGAAAACCTGTGTTTTCAGCGTTTCGATATTATCTTGATGTTACTAAACAGACTTCGATTTTAGCAGATGTTGCGATTAACGAAAATATGGTCAACATAGGGAGGTGAATACAATTAGAGGTTCTGCAGTATATATTACCTTAGATGTGTCCGTATTTCTTGCACCCCTGTAACTATACGTTCCGAGCTGAGGGACCCACTGGCGAATCAGGAATGTGTTTTTACAGACCAGTCGGCACTCACTTGTAACCATAGCTTTTGACATTCATGTTGTCTAGTTTGTTCTCATCATCATCATAGCAGGTCCTTTGCAGAACGTCGCTCTCATCACAGTCTGCCTGAAAGAAACTCGGTCTCTCGCTAGTTCTCCCGCCTTATGCACTTTCACACCAAAGGAGTCACTTATATCTTGTGCCCATCTTAGTGTCGGTCGGCCCCTACCCCTCCTTCCTGGTACCATGCCTTCTGCTATAATTTTTTCCAATCCGTCGTGGAGCTTGATATGACCAAAATATTTCAGCTTTCGAGAAAGGATTCTGTTTATTAGCCAATCTTCCTTGATGTTCAAATCTTTTAAGATGTTAATATTTCTCATCTTCTTTGTCCAAGATATTCTGAAAATCTTTCTATAGCATTTCTGCTCAAAAGCCCCTATTCTCTTTCTAAGGACTGAGAGATAGTTTACTGAACACAATCAAAAACCAAATGAGATCGAGACCAGAAACGTCACCATAAATATAGCAGACAGGAAAGAGATCAGAAATGTGATCTGACCTAGCTGAAAGTGGTCAACATAAGAGCATTAGAATTAGATAGTCCACGACTCACATCCATATGTAGCCACATAAAAGATGCATAGTCTCAAAATTCTAATTTTTATCTCCTTGCTGGTGCTTAACCATAGACTTTTAAGGCTGTTCAATTTTTGCATTGCTATGGCCATCCTCCTTTTAATTTCTGTCGAACAGCCTCCATTGCTGTTTATTATAGAGCCTAGATATTCAAAGTTTGTGACATTTTCAATTTCTTCATCATTTATTGTTTTTTTTTTTTGGGTGACAGCCAGTTTTATGTGTGGACAATTTTTTTCATTTTCTTTAAATTCAAGATTCGAGTTCGTTCTACTGTCTCTATTCCCCCCCCCCCCCCTCTGCATATATAAGTGAAAAGCAACACATATCACCTTCTTGACCATGATATCCATTCAAACTGAGATGTCTTAGGAGAGTTGTCTGAGTATAATGAAGATACACCATTAAATAAGAAGTTAAACACCATGACTGAAAACTGACAGGAAAAACAACAAATAGCAACATTTGAGGTAATATGGATGTCTGGCAAGAATGCCTTAGTTTAGCTGCTAAATGTAGCCACTTAGAAGAAGTATAGTGGACAAATAGCAAGGGGAAATATATGCATACGATGGTACGCAGCATCAAAAACAAAACCAGAGAAATGAATATCGACTTATACAATGCATCAGACAGGGCACCACAGAGAGAAATGTTATACAGATACAGCAGTAACAGATCCAGAGGACGACCACGCGGATGATGGGCCGCGAAAATATCATTGACACTGAAAAGTATTTTATACGAAGCGAACAGAACGGCCCGTTCCAAAGAACTCTTCCTGCCCTGACACCGCTACGCATTCCAAAGTAGATAGAAGAAGAAGAAGAAGAAGAAGAAGAAGAAGAAGAAGAAGAAGAAGAAGAAGAAGAAGAAGAAGAAGAAGAAGAAGAAGAAGAAGAAGAAAAAGAAGAAAAAGAAGAAGAAAAAGAAGAAGAAAAAGAAGAAAAAGAAGAAGAAAAAGAAGAAGAAAAAGAAGAAGAAAAAGAAGAAAAAGAAGAAGAAGAAGAAGAAGAAGAAGAAGAAGAAGAAGAAGAAGAAGAAGAAGAAGAAGAAGAAAAAGAAGAAGAAGAAGAAGAAGAAGAAGAAGAAGAAGAAGAAGAAAAAGAAAAAGAAGAGAAGAAGAAGAAGAAGAAGAAGAAGAAGAAGAAGAAGAAGAAGAAGAAGAAGAAGAAGAAGAAGAAGAAGAAGAAGAAGAAGAAGAAGAAAATAACGCATTTGAAAGAGCATACATATGGTCTCTAGATTTCCTTTCAATACTTTGCTGGGGTGATCGGGAGACGAAGACGAAGAAGAAGAAGAAGAAGAAGAAGAAGAAGAAGAAGAAGAAGAAGAAGAAGAAGAAGAAGAAGAAGAAGAAGAAGAAGAAGAAGAAGAGAGTAGGTGGAAGAGGGAGAGGGACTAGGAGAAAGAAGAAGAAGAAGAAGAACAAGAAGAAGGAAGAGGAGGAGGATTAAGAAGGGAGCAGGAGGAATAGAGGTGAGAAGAAGGAGGGAGAAGTACCACAGCTGATTAGAAAAAGAAGAAAAAGAAGAGGAAAGAGGAGGGGAACAAAGATAAGAGTAGGAGCAAGAAGAATAATACAAACAAACATGAGGAAGAGCAGGGGGCGATGTGGAGGAAAGGAACAATAAAAAAGAGAGATTAGAAGAAGAAGATGTTGATGATGAAGAAGTAGAAAATAAGAGGAAGAAGATTTCCTTTATTCTGTCGTACTGGTTTCCCCATGGACAATGCACTACTCTGTGCCTCGTCTGCTGTAGTTCCACCACTTCCGCTTGCCCATGCGCAATGCTCTGTTGTTACAATATTAGTTGCAGAGACGCATTCTGCTACTGTGTTGGTTCGCGATGAATATTTTTCTTGACTCGTCAAGTATTTAAAAGTGTTTTGTGAATTTATATTCAGAAATGGGACTCCAGCCGCTTGAGTTTGCAGACTGTCTGACAGATAGTCCATTTTTCCGAACGAAATTACTAGAACACGAGCGGGAATTGGACTGTACCAGCAAGTTTATAAAACAATTGATCCATCACGGAAAAGATGTCTATAGTGCAGCTAAGCGTAAGTATAAATTTTAGTGCTTATTTATAAACGCATCGGTTTCATGCATGTATTGAGTAAGAGCAACGCCATTTGCACTAGGTTGTCATATTTTACATACATAAAAATAACTTTTTTAATTGTGTTTGAGCTGATAAGACCAGCTGTCTTATTGTGGCTCAGAAATCTGGGACACAACCAAGAGTAAGAGATAAATCTTATGTTTTTGAAAAGTCTTAGGACAAGAACAGTTTGGACCCATTAGAGATGCAGACAACAGGGAATGGAGAATGAGAAGCAGCATCGAAATTCATACTCTGTTTAAATCAGCATTGATCACTGACATCCTGAGGTTATTTGACTGGTATGTTTCGGGCATATAGAATGTCTCATGACAGAGAGGTCAAAACTGGGCACTGTTTCGAATACCGGTCCCAAATTATTCACTGCGAAAAACATCCCTTTGAGAGCCTCAAGAGGTTATGTAGTAAAAACATAAAGGCCATCATCATGAGTTTTTACTTCTGCCGTTATTGCTCGATGGATTGCCATGGTTAGAAGTTGAGCTAAGCGCTGAGGAAAGGAATTGTTTTCAATCCATTGAAGATTCGTAGGGAGGAATAGATTGTGATCCATTGTTTAAGCGTTGTGTAGAGGAGTAGTTTTCGGTCATTCAAAGTGACGTCAGGAGTAAATTTTGATTCATTGTTCACATTACCCGCAACTCACCTTGTGGGTTCCAGGGCCTCATGATTGAGGAAAGAAAATAATAGATCCACTGCCACCTACAAACCATGTTGTTAAAGGCGCCTAGTTAGGACATAGCTGAAATCGGATGTGTTGGTACAAAGGCACAGATATCATAGCCTAACTATAAACAACAAGACAAAGTGCCAACCACCCTTTCAGGGCAAACAAAAAGAAAGAATATTACCTACCCGTGACATGACCATTGAGTATCTCTCTGCCACTATCGCAGCCTAGCTGTTAACCACAAGACCAAGCAAATGGAGCAGATATTGCAGCCTATCTGAAAATCACAACACAAAGTGCCATCCGCCTATTAAGGGCTAAAAAAATTATCACCCAGCGGGGAATCACACACCCATCACCCGCGTGACAGACAGAATACTTAAAACTGTACTACCAAAGAGTAGAATTTGGTGCACACAAAATTATATAACACAAAATATAGTTCCTAGTGTTCCAATTCCATATTTTTAACTATATAACCTCTTAAGGCCCTGAATGGAATAAACATTTAAAAAATAATTTTATAATTTTTATAATTTATAATAATATATTTGGAAGAATGCCCAAAACTGTATTCACTAGGGAGTTGAATGGCTAGACCAGGAGAAAGACCCACAAGATTGTGGGGAGATAATATCCAGGTAGACCTACAAATACTTGGTTTCTTCACTTCACTTTCTCTTTGCTGCTCGCTGAAGATGTTGTCAAGCACAGAGCACGGGCTCCGGTGGCAATTCTAAAAAAAAAAAAAAATTTTTAAATCAACATGAAAAAATGGGTTAGATGCAGGAAGTAGCCGGTCACCTAGTAGAGCCTGCCTGCTAGTGAAGAGGCAATGGATGTCCCTATGGAGTCCACACACCTGGCACCGTCCCATCGCGCTGACCAGACGTCCAGGTTTATGTTTGAATATTCCACAACCATTCAGCCTCTCAGCACCTAAATCCACTTCAGGCTTGGTTTTTTTTAAATCAAGGTTGTCTCCTCTAGATCCATTGTGTTTTGTCCCAGGACCGCAAGGTCTTGATCAGGGGGGTCACCTTTTGAAAGATGTGCCTTTTAGGTCACGCACAACTGTCTTGACTGTAGAAAGGTTTGTCAGGTCAGAGGACTTACCACCTGAGTGCGACCTTTTCACCTGTAAGGCTTGATCCAGAGACTCACAAGGGGGAACAGCTGGTGTGCTCCACTGTCCGAGAGTCTTAGCCACTACAGCCCTGAGCCCTACTTTACACTCAGAGGAAAGGCAAGACCGACATCATAACCAGATATTGGACATAAATGGTGCTATCTCCACATTGTTATTGACCAGTCAGCACTCAGTGAATGAACAGTTGGGAACCTTGGGCTATCATTGAGGAGACCCGGCTACAAATCCTTGGCAGTGGTACAGCAAGGTCAGATGATACCCGGAAAATTCCCTGTCAACACCCCCCCCCCCCTTTCCACCCCCCTCAGTATATAAAAAAATAATATTTGATATCAGTTTCAGACTTGTTACCAGTATTTTTTTTTAGGTATTTCCTAGTACCAATTTAAGGCTGGGTAAACCTATCCTGATGTGTGAAAGTTAATCATGTACAGTTGGTCAATTATGGAACAATTATATGGGAGCGGGGGAAATATGGTTTTATAGATGTGTGGTGAGAAGAACCGGAACAGATATAAAGAGTACTTGAAAGAAAAATACTCACAAAGATATCTGATTGCCCACATCAGAAGGTAACAATCTACCTTCTTTGGTTATGTCATGAGAAGGAGAAAAACTGCAAGTTAGGATATTTATTTTGCCCGCTGCCGAAGAAACAGACGTCCACCACCTTACCTAGGATATGAACCCAGGTCTCCTGCATGAGTGTCCAGTGTTCTGACCATTCATCCAGTCAGTCCTCACACAGTTAAACTGGAAGATTTTAAAATAAAAATAGGCTGCACTAAACATTAATGCAACTCACAGGATTCCTTTTTAAACTCATTCACTACCAAATTCAGATCCAAAGTTCTGATTAGGCAACACTTTATAAGCAGTTGCTTTAAATCCTGAGCTAACATATTTAAAAAAAAAAATCTTTAGCCATATACTATTCTTTTGTCAGTAAAGCTCTAGTTTCTTAGGGATCAGTGAATTTTACTTATAAAATAAGGATCATAAGTTAATAATCATTTAGTGTTTAGTGGATTATATGACTTTATACAAAATTAGGTATATTATAAGAAGATACACTTTTAGCCGCACAATGTCTGCAGTTGTAAGTTGTCATTCATAACCCACAAATGTTATACATAACCCACATATATTATACATAACTTATACATGTTATACATAACCTATACATGTTTTACATAACCTGTTCATGTCATACATAACCCACACATGTTATATATTACCTGTACATGATATACATAACCCTTACCTGTTATACATAAGCCAAACCTTTTTATACATAACCCATACATGTTAGACATAACCCATACATGTTAGACATTATCCATACATGTGATACATAACCCATACATGTTATATATGACCCATACATGTATACATAACCCATACATGTTATATACATAACCCGTACATGTTATTCATAACCCTTACATGTTATACATAACCCATATATGTTATACACAACCCATTTATGTTATACATGACCTGTACCTGTAATACATAACCCATACAACTTATACATAACCCATACATGTTATACCATGACTTCTGGCAGTATTTAAAGCTGGTTATCTAGGTTGACAGGGGATACACCGTTTACTGTAATTCAAAGTAACAGAGGTCTAGATTGAGAGCGGATAAAATGTATACTGTAATTCAAAGTAACAATTGTCTAGGTTGAAAGGGGTTAAAATGTTTACTATAATTCAGAGTAACATTTGTCTAGGTTGAGAGGCGATAAAACGTTTACTATAATTCAAAGTAACAGTTGTCTATGTTGAGGGGAGGGGGGGGGGGGACCCTTGACTATTTGGCACTTTTTGTTTCTTTTTCTTCTTCTCCTCCTTTTCTACCTCCTTTTTTTTTCACTTCTACTTCTGCACTCACTCCTAAAATGTTGGTTGGCATGTTGCATTTTAGTTTACAAGTAGGCTGTGATACGTCTGTGAAATGTCGTTCGACCGGCAGGTTGCGAACCGCTGGACTATAGGCGGATTCATTGTTTTTAGTTGTGGCAAAGTTGTTGCATCTGACAGATGGTGGCCTTTGCATTTGCTCCTTTTGTAGACCGAAATAATATAGTTTTGTCGCCCAGCACCTGAGTTGAGAGCATGGCGCACCACTATGAGCTGCAGCTTTCATTTTGACCAACTGTAGATTGAACAAATGGCAAGCGGCCTGTTGCCACAGAATTGGTGGTATCTTATGTAATAAAACTGATCTTGTGTGCGTTCATCTGTTTGTCACTGCTGCTCCCGTCAAGGATGAACTGCGTTTCTAATGTCGGACTGTTTGTGTTAGCACTTCTGATAGCTGCCATATGCTTTTAATGCATGCATAAGCTGGTAATGGATATTCAGAGACTGCAGTCTGTATCATTTATTTCCCCCACAAAAGATTGTGATGGATATTGTTTGCGTTTTTTGTTAGCACAGGAGCTGAGCAACTATGTGGTGACCAGTTTGCTGAAACTAAGATTACCATATTACAAGATATCCATCATTGTCTCTTGTAAAAATGTTGACACAGGCCGCAGTCTTAGCAAACCCAACAGCATACACAAACATTAAATGTATAAGGCATCAGCTGACACTAGAAATGCAGTTTATCGTCAATGGACGCAGCAGTCACAACAGATCAGCAGTTGCACATGCAATTTATCATAAACGGCACCACTAGTTCTCTGGAAACAGACCACTCGCCATTTTCTCAGTCTGCATTTCACAGCACACAACATGTTAGGCGCAGCTGAAAAGCAGTCCAAAGGATTCCTCAGCCCATAGTGTCGCACCATGCGCTTAGTTCAGTAGCTGGGTGCTGGAACTTTATGCTTTCGGTCTACGTATGAAGGAAAATGCAACATTTAACTGTTGCCAGATGCAAACATTTACCACGTTTCATGCTAAAATGGTAAACCAACCCGTCCGCCATATTGACCGGAAGTAACATCACATTGGCTATGGGATCTTTACTTGTGTTAAATTCTTCTTCTTCTTCTTATAGTACATGCGGTGAAACGTTGGTAGTTATATCTATCCACAACCTTCTGTCGCGTGTACTTTTAATCACTTCTGACATAAACGATCTTCTATGCCATGATATCAAACTGTCCAGTATCTTCTCTCTTGGTAGTAAGACAAATTTTGTTTTTAATATTCTTCTGGGAAGCCTCATTTCCCTGTTCTCCAATATGCATTTGAACATAACTGTATTACAGACACCAAGCACAACCTGCTGTCGTTAATCAACACCAGAATTCACACTGGTTAAAACTTGTAGGAACCTCTATTTGGTCATTCTAGAAATGGGTTCTCTACCAGGGGAGGAGGAGCTGGTCAAAGCCCTCTTCAGTATTGGGTCTGAAATATTTCCCCTTTTAATTGTAAAAGTTGGTCAACCTGGTGAACATTTGCATGTTGCTCAGTGTACTCATGTTGAAAAGATAACAGTCAGTGAACAAAGTTGACCAACATTTTGATCAACTGAGAAAGAGGGAGGGGGGGGGGGGGGCAGCAAAGTTTCTGAATTACTGAACTGACATAAGTTGCCAGGCTGGTCAACTAGAGACATGTCAGTTACCGTATATTGAAGACGGCCTTGGGCTGTCCAGCGTTGATAGGTTCAACGTTTCCCTCAAAGTCGGAACGTATTTCGATGGAGAAACGAGGAACCATCCATCTGGATACGAACAAACCGGATCTGTGAAAAAAAAAAAAAAAAGAAAGTAGACACAGTCTAAGAGGAAGGACCCAGTCCTGCTAAGAAAGCTGTAGAAAAAAGTAGGCACCCTACACAAATATTCATGCGAAGCCTTAGCAGTTAACATTCATAAATCATCAGTGCTTCTTATGGCGCTGGTTAATTTCACCTGTTCTAAAGTAGATTATAATAACATTGGCAGAATGTAAACTCACCTATTTCGCCATGAAATTCATTAAAATTCATAAAAAAAACTGGCATGGGGGAAAAGAAACAGAACTGGTGCCAGTTGAAATAATACTTCTTCAAGTTTCGTCTAACGTAGTTTAGCAAGACAGTTGAAAGTAAGTCAGATATATCGACTTCATTGTGCCAAATTTTACCCGCTATGGCTCGGTTACTCTCGGTAGAATGGCTATCTGTCAAAGCACAAACCTCGTAGCTCTAGGAACGATCGCCGCGCATTTCCGTATGATGTACCCCGGACCCACCCCTCCCCCCCAAAAAAAAATTATCAAACATGCATTGTACATTTTACATTTTTGGGGCGTTGAGTGAATGAATTTGAACCCCACTAGAAGCGCAAACTGTTTTTGTTTGTTCAAGCGAGACAGAGAGAGAGAGAGGTGGGAGGGGGGAGAGATAGGACCGAGAGGCTGAGGGAGAGTTAAGAGAGAAAGAGATGGTGGGAGAGAGGACAGAGGGGTGAGGAAGAGAGAAGCGAGAGAGAAATATAGGATGGGAGAGAGTAGAGAAGAGAGAGAGGATAGAGAGAGAGGGGAGGGAAAGATTAGAGAGGAGGGAGAGAGGGAGGGAAAGAATAGAGAGGAGGGAGAGCGGGAAGGGGGTTAAACACATTGGGTGTGGGAGAGAAATTAAACAATTGCATTTGTACTTGTAATAATCGGTTATATTTACATTTTCGATGGAATGTAGTGGCTAGCTGCTCACCGACGGATACGAAAGTCGGGAGCTCAGATTCGAATGGAGATGAATTTGTTTCCCCTTTAGAAATGACCTTGGCCCCCAGGTCGATGCAGCCTTAAATGGATATCAGATAAAGTCCTGGGAAGTAAAGGCAGACGGTGTGATGTTGACCGCATCATCCACCGAGTGCACACGAGTCTGTAAAATATAGGTCTGGCACTGTAATACCAGTAACCTTGAGATGTGGAAAAGGATCAGTTACTTACTTTTTTCCCCCCTCCAGTTTAATTGTGAATACACTTACATGACCAAAAATTACATGACCAATGGCATAACTGATATCGGTCTTCCTTCAGTGACACTAATGCGATCCAGCGTACAATGCCAGCATTTAAAATATTGATGCAACATTTCTTTAACGGACCAAAACAGCAAGCGGGCTACCAGAAGTAACATTTTGCACGCCGTGGGTCAAATTAGTACCAGAGGGGCTGCGTGGTCTCGAGGTATGGTGTCCGCCTCGAGTGCTAGAGGTCTAGGGTCCAAGCCTCGGTGAAGGCTAGGATTTTTTCTGTTCACGTTGACTTCTAGTAATACTACTGGTCTCTGGGTAGTGAGCTCGGACGCCCGTGTGTATTGTTGCGCACCTTAAAAATCTCTTGGCAGTTGGAAATAGAAAAGAGTAGCCTAACGGCGCTGCCCGGGCAGAATTTTTGAGTTAAAAATCTACCCAAATATTTCAGGATCCGCGCCGGTGCTACGGAGCCCGTGCACTGCGCTAAGCCACTTCGGACTCAGACTTGAGTTACAGTTAAAACGAAGCACTTATGGGTTACTACCCGTGTGCGATGATGTTGATCCGTTGTTCAAACTTTATAGTACCAGATTTGTACGAAAGTACCAACTTCGGCAGCCGTGCTTTTTCTCAGTCTCTCTTTCCCTCCAACGTCTCTGTTGTCACAGCGTTCTTGTTTGTGAATTGACTGAACTACTTATTCTTATCGTTCACCGGATGTAAGCTCCAGCAGAAAGTTCTGGTTGTTTCTCTACTTCTGGACTTTAATCTTGTTTCAGAACTTGAATTTTGAGCGCATGTCCGTTTGACATATTTAGCTTGTATGCAGACTGCTTGTTCATCGCGTCTTAGGCAGATAGTTTCGACTTTGGAGGACAAACCCCAGATTAGTCGTCTTTTACAACCTGTTTGGGTCGACTTCGAATTCCAGAGCCAATGAATGTGCCTGTCTCGGTATCCCACCAATCGCCATTACTTCGCATGTACCAGCTATAGGTTCGGTCGACATGGATTCCCGAGTAATTCAATAAATCGATGGGGATTCGAGAACAAGATAATTTGAATTTCGGGCAACATGTTTGCAACATCTTTACCACGGCTTTTCGAGCACTGTTCTTAGTATGTTAAAAAAAAGTGTACATCAAATAGGTGATGTAGTTGTTAGTGCGATTGTCTCACGAGATAGTCGTCCATGTTAGGTTTCTCCTTTTGTCCTGCTGTTTCTCTTTTTGTCCTGCTGTTTCTCGTTTTGTCATGCTGCTTATGCTGTCGTAAAGCCTAGATATAGTTTCTGTCTTTTGCTAGCTGCATAAAACGGGTGTGCACACTACACTCAGGTTCTGGAACAAGACTAAATTCCGGAGGTGGGCGAACAATCAGAACTTTTCGCCCGAGTTTACAGCCGGTTAACTCGAAGAAAAATAATGAGGAGGAGGAGAAGAAGAAGAAAAAGAAGAAGACTCTAGCGCGTAGCTTGCGTTAGTGCCAAATAGCCTTCCTGCATGTCTCCTTTTCTCCCTGCACCTATCTCTTTCTTGGTCGACCTATTGACTTTTAGCCTGCGGGTCTCGTGTAGTAATCTCTTCCTGCTGGCTGGTTTTGTTCCATTATGACAGCCTGACCAAACTGTTGGATTTTTTGATGTTCTGTTAAATCATTTACCGGCACTGTACCTACTGGTGTTATTAGTTCTTTGTTTGTGACACTGCGTCTTCTTGTTTTCTTGTCGCATTTCTTATGCTTCACAACTTATATATTGTTATTGTCGCCCAGGTTCCATCCTTAGAAATGGACCCCACCGACCCGCCACGCCGTCCTCACCAGTCTGGCCTTAGGGTCGACCCAGGCGGAAAGACAGATGGATACCAGATTGTTTGTTTGTCTACCATATGTAAACTATGGCGAAAAGTCCTGGTGTTTCCTGGTCCATCTCTGGGCTTTGGCCTTGTTCCAGGCGTTTTGCTGCGCTTCTGTTTTGCAGATCAGATGTATTTGTGAGCAGATCGTCGGTCCCTTGCCTTTCAGACAGAGGCACTCCGAAGTGAAGACCTGACGCTTCACAGTTTAACGGCGATATGCGCCATTGGGCCGGCTACCTTAACCTTACATCATGACATAGGCGCCGGGATCTCAGGGCTCTGGGGCCTTGACACCCCCTGTCTCCCCCCCCTTCCGAAATAAATTGTTAAGGAGAGCCTAAGCGCCCTCAATTAACTGTGTTAGAGGACTGAGAGGCCCACCCCTAACAACACGCGCACGCACACACTTACACACACACACACACACACACACACACACACACACACACATATATATATATATATATATATATATATATATATATATATATATATATATATATATATATATATATCACAAAGTGTGTATTTACACATTTCATATCATTTGTAGTATATTATAATATATTTGTTAATATCCAACGTGACGAGAGGGCGTATTTGCAAGGCTGGAAGGGGAAGGATATGAATGTTTTCTTTATGGAGACCACGCCCTCCTTCATCTTTTAATCTACACACCAGTGGATGGAGGAATTACCCCCCCCCCCCCCTTTCCCCCTCCCCCCACTTCTGCTCTGACATCACAAGAAGTCTAGATTGGTCAATACTGCTGCTGGAGGTCACAGAGGTCAACACCTGCATCAACGGGAATTTCCTTTTATTGAGCATCCGTTCACTGTGTGGTTTCTAGGGCCGGGGAGGGTTGAAGAAACCCACCCCCTTCTTACTGAAATGGGATGTCTTGGGCCGAAAGGCCAGATATTGCAGCCTATCTGTAGACCACAATTTAGTGTTCACTCTAAGGGCAAACGCAGGAGAAAATGAACAGTAGCAACAACGTTGAAGAACATTTCAGTTGCTCTTGCAACAGGTAATTCACTTTGAAAAAAAAAAAATACACACAAACACACACACATACATGTGCAGGTTTTTGTTCATTTCCCAGTTTTCTACCATGTTGTTTATTCATTTCACAGAGTTTTCAAAAGCTCAGAAACTTCTTGCGAAGG